AGCAATAAGCTAAAATGAGACGAAACAAGTAGTTACGAAAATAACCAAGAGAATCTTATTATAGAATACAGTAAAACTGTTGAAGGCTTTCTCTCTATAGTGTAAGAGAATAGAAAGTACACTACTACCTAGCCCACCTAGTAGGAGGGATTATGAATATTATGCACACTATTTTAATTTAGTCTTGCTCAATTTTATTTATCTTTGACATTATTTATATGTTTATTGAGCATATAAAATATATATAATAGTTATATAGTTATCGTTATTATAAATATATATTTATTTTTAAATTTAATTTGTACATCATAAATAAAAAAATTAATTTAAAATATATTACAAATGATGGTTATGATTGATATAACACTAAATATCTCATAAAAATTGAATATATTTTATTCAAATATAATTTATTATTTTTTTAAAATGGAGTTTATATGAAACACTAAGTATGTGTAAGCAGAAATTAAATTATTTTTTAATTTTTAAAATTAAATATATATACATTTTAGGAGAGTATTTGTTGTTTTTATTATATAGTTATTTGCATTTTTTAATATATTATATATATTAATATCTTTTCTCTTTAATTTACAAAACTTGGGTTCCCACACTTTTTCCCCTTTTTTTGCTCTGCTAGGTTTTTCACCCTCGCGGCGGCGTGCCGCTCTCCGGTCTCCGGTGGGGGTTTAAAGCTTGTCTCCAGGGAAGTTTACTTTCTTATGGTTTTTTGTTTCTTCTCTGAGATTTTGTGGGTGTTTTTCGTTCGGGGGCGCGCGCCGGATGGCCCCAAAATTGGGTTAATCGGGATTTTTAGGGTTTCGAATTCTTCTCGTTCTTTTCTTCAAGCTCTTTCGGATCTTCCTCTTGTAATGATTTCCCTAAAATTAAGGTGTCGTCTTTTAATTCGCGGTATGATGCCTTCTCTGTGGATTTCGGATGAAAAATCTTGGCTTTGGCTGTTCCTTTCTCAATTTGCCTAGTTGGATTCTTTCCTACGAAACGGCCATCTCTTGACTCGATTAGAAAATTTTTTCTTTAATCTTAAGCTTAATTGTGATGTTTTCGGTTACTTTGCTGGTTCGTCTCATGTGCTTATCAAATTAGAACAAGACCTGGATTATTGCCGTGTCTCTGTCATAGATCCTACCTGGTTTTCAATTGCTTTATGAAAATTACGAAATGGTCTCCTTCGTTGAATAGGGGTTGAATCTTCTGAAATCCACTCTGGGTATCTTTCCCTCTTTAGCGCAGATCTTTTCCCTCCTAAAATTCTACAATGGATTGGCTTCCATTTTTGGTAAGCCTCTTAAAATTGATTCGGCTACGTCTTTGGGTTCTAGACCGTCTGTAGCTAGGGTTTTAGTTGAATGTGATAATCAACTAAGTCCTATCCTAATCGTATTTGGTTGGGTTCTGAAAAGCTTGGATATGTGCAAAATGTTGTAATGGAGGAATTTCCTGTTTTTTGTGGTGAATGTCATTGCTTCGGCCATGCAGTGGGTGAATGTCGTTCTAAAAATGCTGCTTTAGATTCGTCTGTTTTAACCAAAACTGTAGAACATAATGCTAAAACTGTCTCCCGGTTATTCTGGAATCGAATGTTGGGATTCAAGATGAATTGATTGTGCCTAATTTGATGAACTCTGTTTTAGCTAGGGATGAAACGGTCATTCCTAATGTTTGCGTTGCTATTTCTGAAATGGTTTATAAGGACTTTTCTCCTAATGGTATGCCTTTCTTACCCTCTGGTTTGGAGAGTGCTTGTTTGGAGGGTTTGCCGGATAATCCTTCGTTAATTTCTACTAATCTAATAGAAACTGATATTGTAACCTCTTCTGTAAATCATGTGGTGGATTCTGGGTTGGTTCCGATGACTTCGACTCAGTTGATGTGTGGTGAGGTTGTGCAGGCTGGTGTTTTGATTGATAATTGTTGTGTTTTGTCTAGCCCTGTGCTAGTTGAGCACGTTGATCCGATTCGGGTTTCTGTTCTTTCTGAGCGTCCGGTTGATGAAGGAAATTTGGTTGTTTCTCATAAGTTGGTGGAAGTTGCCGTGAATGAAATTGCTTCCCATTCGTTAATGCTTCAGGTGGGTGGTACGACTGGTGTGGATGTTAGATCACATGGTGATTGTTTGCACAATTTGTCGGAGTGTGATTCTGATTCTGATTCTTATTCTGATCCTGGAAATGATTTTAAAATGGTTCGTGATAGACCTATTTCTGGTAATTGCCGTGGTAAATTTTGGGGAAGAGGTGGTCGAAGAAGATGATTCGGTATTTACAGTTGATCGGATTGTTTTTCGGTTCGAATGTTGGTTGCAGGGCAATGATGTGGCCGGGGCTCGTTTCTTCGTCGCCTACTTGTGGCAACCTCTATTGGATGGTCCTTGTGCGGTTTCGAAGTTGCTTGTAGCCTCGGTCGACTACTTAGCCCCCGGGGTTTTTTGGATTTCTTGTTGCTTGTTCCCGGGGTTTTTTGTTTTGAGAGGCTGTCTTTTTTTGGTTTTTATTTCTTTCCTTTTGCTGTTGTAACCGCTTTTTTATTTTGATTAATAGATCTGTGTTTTATTTAAAAAAAATATATTCTTTAATTTATTTTTTGTCAAAATACCCTTAAAATTTTCTTTTCTTTAATATTCTTTAATTTATTTTTTGCCAAAATAACCTTATAAAATTCTTTCCTTTAATATTCTTTAAGTTATTTTTAATTCGTTAATATTCTATACATCTCTTTTCTTTAATATTCTTTAATAATGAAATTTAGGTTTGAATAGAAATCAGAATTTAAAGCACCGTATTCGTTCCTTTTTTAATTTTTTCTTTTGCATGCTCATTAAAATAATTGAAATCTAAATCATGCTCCTCTTTATAAAAATATCTTTTTTTTTACCTAATATGCTGTTGGTGTAAATTCTAATCAAATTGTATTCGTACTTTATTCGAATGTTATTCGAATCAATTTTAGTTGAAGTGACCTTAAGAAAATAATTTAAGTTTTGGAGCCGAGATGTTTTTATTCGAGTGAAATTTTCACGTGTATTATTTTGAGAAATAAAAAAATGAGGATAATTCTTCAATTTTAAATATCATGTCATATAAATATATGCCTGTAGAGAGAGCAATTATTAGGTGCGGTCAGACCATCTAGAAGCGAATTAGAATGCGTCACGTCATTCTGTACATAACACCGGTACACAACAAAATGGTTATGTCGCGCGTCTTGATTTGACTCTAAACGATATTCGATGACCGTACTTAATAATTTCTCGTGCAAACATCAAAACTAAAAGTAGTTAAAAAATAAAAAATCATGCTCAACTTATTATTATTATTATTTTTACAAATTAAGATAATTTCACAACACAACTTAAAAATTTCAAACCCAAGACCTAAAAAAAAAAGAACAACCAAGACCTCTCTGGACTATTTAAAAAATAATAATAATAATAAAAACCTCTCCCGATTGATTAATTATTCCGTGTATATGTCAAACGTCATTCGGAGACCAATCAGAATATGTCATGTCACTCCTTTGTTCGATACCGAAGCTCGATACTGCTCGACACCGATAAATTATTACGTGTGGTGTCCGGACCGTCCGGAGGCGAATCCGGACCCTCCATGTCACCCGGATGCACCGGAGTCGGGGTGACGTGGCACTAGGGGTGCAAATGAGTCGAGTTGAGCTCGAGCCAGGGGTTGTTCGAGTCGAGCTCGACTTCCAGAAACTGAGCTCGAACTCGAGTCGAGCTCAAAAACTGAGCTCGAGCTCGACTCATCCCATGTCGAGCGGCTCGTCAAGCTCAATTCGAGCTAAAAATGTCATCGTGTTCGCTGTCGTGCCGAACCCCGTCTTCGTCGGATCTGCTTTCGTCCCGAGGTCTGTTGCCGACCAGATCCGTCCGCCCGAGCTTCGCCGTCGAGACACATCCGCTCGAGCTCGCCGTCGTTCCGAGCTCCGCCAATTGTCATCATCCCGAGCTTCGCAGTGGAGATACGTTCGCCTGAGCTCGTTCGTCGTCGTCCCGAGTGCCGTCGAGATCCATCCGCCTGAGCTTGTTCGACATCGTCCCGAGGCTCTGCCGTCGAGATCCGTCGTCCGAAACATGTCCGTCGTCATCCCGACTCCCGAGCACATCTGTGTCGTCGTCGTCCCAAGCTCGTTCACGTTGCCCAATCGAGCTGCTCGTCGTGCCGAATCTGAGCCCTGTTCGAGCTTGACTCGATAAGCTATCGAGCTCGAAACCGTGTTCGAGCTCGACTCGCGAGCTCGATAAGCTCGGCTCGTCGAGCCTGTTATCGAGTCGAGCTCGAGCCGGCTTGACTCGGTTGCACCTCTACGTGGCACATCTGAATTCGCCTCCGGATGAATCCGAACAATGCAAGTAAAATTTGCCGCTAATATGACGCATTCTATTGATCCTCTCCGGACGAGCAATTATTAAGTCAGGTCACCTGACGCGTCCAGAAATTAATAATCACGCGCCACGTCACCTAAAACTCAGTATTACTCGATATATATCCGAATTTTCATTTTTTTGTACGGAAGTAATAATTACTCATCTGCCTGACAGATCACAATCAGCTGCGTAAATGCCCTGTTTTTTTAACGAAGAGTCGTCCATTCCATTCAGAACTAAGATCCTATAAACCCGGTTAGAAACTTAGAATGGTTCAGCGGACGAATAAAAAAGGGTAAATGCCCATTCCTTCTGTGCCGCTGTAGAGGGTTCGCCTTGAGAAACGGGAACTTCATGGCAGAAGCTTCCCATTAGTAAAATATTTCGGTAACCTCCTTCTCATTCTTGGTATTTGTTTAATGACTGTGCAAGGGTAGGAGGTTTGAACACATTTCTACGGTCTTCCTTTACCTTTTTCAATCGACGTTGTTGCGGTAGAATTAAGTAAGAAATATATGTATAAATATTAAAAAAAAAGAGCAATTTTTACATGTTACTGGGTAGAGGAAAAGTTGTATATTTTCTGGAAATAGAGGTGGGTAGATAGAGAAAGCTGTTATTGGTTTTTGTGAGCAAAAACTTCTACTTCTTTCTTCAGCCTCCAAGTTTTACTTTTGATGATGCTTGACAATCTTCTTCTTGCTTGGTGTGATTTCTATTGACCTTCTGACTCCAGCTGTGACTTCGGAACACTGGAAGAAGAACACTGAAGAAAGGTTTATTTGCATTTTACTTTTTTTTTTTGAAGATTTTGAACTTTGTTAAGATTATGCGAAGGAAAGCATGCAATCATCTAGCACATTCCTCGCTTACTTTTTTTTTTGGGTGAGGATGCACTATCATTTTGTTAAATTGAAAATGTTTTGATGTGTTTGGAAATTCATTTTTGTGGCTTTAGTTTGAGAATATTTCTTGGCTGTTTGTTGATGCTATCATCTTGGCAGAGTAAAATAACTATTTCAAGTATTATTAGTATCTTGATCTTTCTCTTTAACCCACCCTCGACAATTGTTTTATACAAGACCTCCATGAAAATCTAATCCACCAAATATAAATAAATCGTTAAACAATCCTTTCATCCAACTTTGTTTTGTCTTCTGCACTCATTGTTTCGGGGATCTTTGAATGGTTCATGAGTACTTTCACCAGATCTTGTTGGTTAGAAACTCCATGCATCTTGGTTTTCTAAAGGCTATACTCTTGAAAACTTGTAACTCTTCAAAATCTAAGTTTATGGCAATTGTTCTTGCAACTTTCACTATAATATCAATTGTTAGGGAAAGAGAGCATGCCTAATTTGAATTGTGAGAGTGTCCATCTTAGACATGAATATAGTGAACCAGAATTTTTTATAAAAGATATTATACACAAAATAATAATACTAAGATTTATGTGATTCGACTTCAAACAACCATACATCCAGAGTTCAAAACATTTTATAGAGAGTTTATCTTCACACAGTCATGTGATAGTTAGATTTACCAATATTTATCCAGCTGATGAAAATTTATAAAGGCACTTGTTGTGATAATGAAGACCAGGGTTATGATATGATGTCAGAGAACCTAAATTAAAAGAATTGTATATTTTATCTCTTTTTTAATCTACTAGAGCTTTTGTAAAATCATCAATTTAGATCAATCCAGTGAAAGCAAATCTATAAATCATATATATCAAAATCTTACTATATTCATTCCTTCAAAATGAAATTTATAATAACCAGGAGATTTCAACAATATCAATCTATTTTAACAAGTTCCTGACTACAAATGAATAAAGCAAAATACAGAAATCAAAAGAAAAATTTGAAAATTCTTGCAGCCTCACTCCACTGGTCATGACCCCTTCCATGATTTGAAATCTATAAAATTCACATAATGACCTTATGAAGCCCAAAAAGATAATATCTTGTGAGATTCGTCACTCCTGCCCGTCGGCGTATGTTGTCTTCTTATATCTCTCTATATTGTATCTTGTATCTTATATCTTGTATTAGGATTGCACTACAACTCATAATTTAAAGAAAAGCTCGACGTACCACTCTCTTATATAGGTTATCTTGCTCCAATCAACAAATTATTTTACAACTAGCCATCCTTTCTTGCAATGCCATATTTATTAAATATTAGTCAAATCATTTTTTATGCAAATTCAATATCATGTATGAAATGCAATTAATTAATGAAACGTAAGAAAATCTATACAGTGTTCATTTACTTTAGAAATCATAACTATCAATTTATCTAGTGAAATTCAATAATATTATAATAAAAATACTCATAAGAATCATATCTATCATATACAAAATGTTACATAGTGAAAGTGTTATAAATAATGAGAAATTTTTTTATCAATTTGGGATAGATTAAATTAATTAAGCATAAAATCACTAAAAACAAAGATAAGATTCAAGTTTTTATCACAACAACAACAACATCAACATCAAGCCTTTATCCCACTACGTGGGGTCGACTACATGAATTCTTTTTCTCCATTGTGTCCTATTAAAAGTCAAATTTTCATTTAAATCTAATAAATAAATTTCATTCCTAATATTTTCTAACCAAGTCTTTTTAGGTCAAAATTTTTTATCACAATTAGAAGAAATCTCAGAACATAATCGACATACGAAAATGACCCGAACGGTCTCTTCTCTCCTCTCTCTCTTTCTCTCTCTGCTCCTCCTCCCCTCTTCCTCTCCTGCTCTCTTCCGTTCCTTACCTGGCAAGTTAAGTTGCTGGATGGAATGGGGAGGAATGGCCGAGTGAAGAACTTTATATTAAAAAATATTTTTCAGTGCCCATCACTGCAGCATTTTGAATTCGGCGCTGCAGTGATGTATGTCACTCTCAGAGTTACTGTATAACAGAGAGCTCAACATTTCAACAGCGCTTTCTTTGTGCCACTGCACTCTAAGCACCGTTGCACTGCCTGGTGGATTAGATTTTCATGTTTTTCAATCAAATTCATTTTAAACTTTTGAGTTGTTACATATGATAAGAAGATAAATTCATCTGTGGTCAATGACAGAATTTCCTTATGGCAACAGCCAATTCCTATTTCTTCTCTTTCTTCTCTTTGAGGAAGAAAATTGGTGTCTACCTCTCATCTTACCACATATAGCAGCGATAAAAAAACTTATATTTTTTGCAGTTGCTAGTTGCTAGTTGCTACAATAATTGCCACAATACATTGGCTACGCTACAGTGCTCGATAGGTCTAATTCTTGTTTGCAACAATACTCTAATTCCTCCTTGCTCTGCCTTAAATACACATGCTTTGGTGTGGGATACATAAAGGGGTTAGGTAAGGTGGATATGTATAATATAACAAATATAACTTTTAGGAAACTCTTAACCCAGCCTCAAGTTAGAAAAAAATTCCTTATTAAAGTTAAAATCTCTAAGGTTTTCTCCCGTCCTCATATGAGGCATAATCAATTCTCAATCAAAGGATCCACAATGATGATGAGATTTCATGCAATATAGGAACGAGTGCAAGTAAGGATATATATTTTGCTGAAAGTTTTTCTGTCTTGAATCCATGGGCGGATCCCCTCACATGTGTTTTCCCACCCTAAAAAAAATTAATGTATAAGAGGGATAAATTTGGAATGCTGCCCCCCCCCCTTAAAAAATTTTTTGCCCTAATATGACCCATCTCGCGTTGTTTGTCCATCCATCTGAAATTCCGAACATCGCGAATAAATGAATAAAAAATTCATCTTATAAATTTGATAGCATTATGTGGTTAAATTTTATAAAAAACTTTATTATTATTATTATTATTATTGTTGTTGTTGTCATCTAATTAATTAAAATTTTGCTCATCTTGAAAAAATAAGCTACTATAAACATTAAGGTTTTTTTTTTCTTTTTGGCTACTTAATTACCCTTCCCTTCCTTCAGAATATCATAAAAAGGTTTGATTAAGATATCAGAATTGTAAATAAAAAAAAACATAACTGCCGTTTTAAGCTTTGCATACTTTAAAACGCATCATGAAGCATATCCTTCACATTACGAAGCTTAGGCTTCTTGCTACAAGCACTTTCATGTTCATGCAAGAGCATTCTTTCATGCAAGACACTTTTTTAAATACTGGTTAATTCCTAGTGCATAAATTCAAATTTGATTTTTATATTCTCATTAGCTTTCCTTGAAGGTTGATTTGCATTTTTGCTATTTTGTTGCTATTTCAAATTCTTTCAAGATCACATTGTGCTGGATTTTCTTAGGTTCTCAGTTCCTTTAAAGTTCAATGATCTTGTATAGCAACAGGTTGATATTTGTTTTTAATTCACAGCATTGGAGAGGGTAAAAGTGTGCTTAACAAAATGGGTATCTTTCAACTCTTTATTGCTGCATCAGTGCCAGTTCTAAAAGTGCTCATTGTGACCGGTGTTGGAGCATTTATTGCGACTGATTACATTGGTGTTCTTGACAAAGAAGCAAGGAAGCATTTGAATAATGTAAGATGTCGAACTTGTTTTTCCATATCATATATTGGCTGCTTGAAGAGATGGATAATTAGGGATTTCCTTAAAAAATCAGCTATCAAATATGATATTTTCCTATTTGTCTTGCCTTAGTTAGGGTCCTTTTCCTTTTCTCGTTCATTTCTATTTCTTGTTTAGTTGTTTAATTCAAGCAATAGTTTCATCGAATATTAAAAAAGCTAATATCAAAATCCTTTCATTAACAGGTTGTATTTTATGTATTTAATCCAGCTCTTGTGGCAACCAATTTATCTAGAACAATCACATTGGAGAGCGTAGTTCTATTGTAAGTTTCATTCTTTGAAGTTGGGCTTTCTAATTCGTTTAGTTTCTATCATAGAACTTGATATTTACGAACATACATTTCCACCAGTCCACATTCAACTGATTGTCATTTGGATCATTTTCTTTTATCAAATCTTATTGAGAAAAATAATTGGAACTTGTTATCCTGCAGATGGTTTATGCCAATAAATATTCTTCTAACCTTCCTTATTGGTTCTGCTTTCGGATGGGTGCTTATTCAAATCACAAAAGCTCCTCATCAACTCAGAGGCCTCATTTTGGGCTGTTGTGCTGCTGGTAAATATTCAGTTTCACTGAGCTACTACTAATATCTTGATACATACCTGAGCTTTTAATCATATTGATGGGGTGCTTCATCAATTTCTTCTTCTATTTTAATTCAAGGCGCCTCCTATGGAGAAGTTTCTTTTGATAATTTTGCCTTAAAATCTATAATTAAAATGTTTTTTTTTTATTAATAATTTGTGAAATGGTACAATTATGCTCCAATATTATTGTCATTAATTTTATCTAGACTATTTTTGTTGGTAATGTGAATCCTCCATTATTATTGAATGCTACATGAGCTGCAACTTCAGCAACGCCATCGAATTCTGAATTTTAGAGATTATAGTGATCATCATGATAGAATTTGGTTAATACTCTTCCATATGTCATATGGTTTGACAGGAAATTTAGGCAATATGCTTCTCATTACAGTCCCTGCCACTTGCAAAGAGAAAGGCAGTCCATTTGGCGCTCCCGATGTTTGTAGCAAATATGGAATAGCTTATGCTTCTCTCTCCATGGCTGTAAGTTCTTCGCTTTCTCATATATCTCTAATGAGTTATATAGTTGACCAAACTCTGCATTTATGCTCTTGTATATATCCTTTTTTTTAACATTTGCACGAATTTAATTGTTTTCATGTATGTCTGAAAGTTTACTTTTAATGAAATATTTCAGATTGGCGCGGTTTTCTTGTGGTCTTATGTGTACAACATCGTGCGAATATCATCCAGACGAATAGAAGAAAAACAAAATTCTATTGATCAAGTTCCTAAATTAGAATCTACTGTGGACTGTACAAAGTTAATTCCAGGGAATTGTACAAATGTAAAAGATATAGAAACTTCCTCAGCTCTTGTTACTTGTAAAGATGATTGTGAAATAACCAAACCTTTATCTGCCGGATATTCTACAAAAAAGAAGGTTGTTTTCTCATTTTTTTCAATTTAGGCTTTACAACTCAAACTGATTTTGTTTTTTATGGTCATATAAGATGGTTGTCTCCTGGTAAAGTTATCTACTGCATTGCTTCCCCCTCAAATACTGAACCTCAAAAGAAATGATCTTCTATGATGATTATCACAATTCTCCTAGGAACTTTTTGATGTTTTTAAAATTATATTCATTGCTGCATGGGGCAAGAGCTGCTTGTTATTAATTTTGAATGTAAGCTGGCCACAATATATTACATGCTTATGCCTTATAATTTTCCTTGCAGGTGTCTCTCTTACAAAACAAGAAATCTGCGATCAACTTTAGAAATTTGTTGTCACCATCAACAATTGGAGTGGTATGACATTGTTTCTTATATTGTTTAGTGACCGCTTAATCACTGCTGCTTACTCAGTATTCTCATATTTCTAGTACTAAGAATTAATATCTTTGTCAAGTTTGACTAAATCTAGCCCAATCTTTTATTAATATTTCTTTTGAAGTACTATTAAATATTAATGTTATAATTTGATCTATTGGAAAAACCTCATCCAACCCTTAAAATTTTATATGCAAATTATTATATTCGATAGAATGAGAAGATCAGTAAACAATAGATGTAGGTATCATGCAATCTATGCACACAGTATGGAAGGAGTCCATGATAGATTTTTGTAACTCTAAATTAAGCTTTAACACGCACTCCTATTTTGTTATGATCAATGTTTCTTACAGTTGCTGTAATCAATAACTAGTCTTTTAAGTTAGCCAAAAGTTATATCCCTACTTTATTTTGGTTTTGTAGATTATTGGGTTTACAGTAGGTGTGATCGCTCCAATTAGAAAAACTTTGATTGTTGAAGGTGCTCCTCTTCACGTGATTCAAGACTCTGCTTCTTTAATAAGGTATGCTTTTCATGATGACTATTAACTATTGGAATTTCGGTTTCGTTTGGGACGGCTTTCTTTCTGCTTTTTAAAGCAGCTTCCTAACAATAATTTTAATTTTTGTATTAAGAAGCTGCTTTAAGAAGCAATAAGAAAGTTGTCCCAAATGAAACCTTCATCACCGCATATGCTTAGCTTGAGAGCATGGGAAAGCTTTCCACCATTATGTTCTAGAGATTATGGGTAATTGTTGAATTGTTAGTGTCATTAAAGTCATGAAGAAGAGTTGTGCCCATTCCTGATGTTTTTATCTCCTGCAATGCAGTGATGGAGCAATTCCAAGTTTGACATTGATTTTGGGAGGAAATCTTCTCCAAGGTAATGCCACCCCTTAGAAAAAAGTACATTTAAACTGAAAAAAAAAAGGTTTTTAACATTAAAATAATTGCATATTGACACTTGATTCATCAGGATTACGAGGCTCCAGCATTAGAGCTTCAGTTATTATTGGAGTTATAGTTGTTCGCTATTTGCTACTGCCATTGGTGGGCATAGCCATAGTCAAGGGAGCAGTTCTTCTTGGCCTTGTGCACGCTGATCCTTTATATCAGTTTGTTCTGCTGGTGCAATATGCTCTCCCTCCTGCTATGAACATAGGTGATTCTGAAAGACTTTCCTGAACTTGTGATCTTTGATTCTTTCGGGAAGTACTAAGGACTTGCTTGGTTTGGCTTCTTCTTTCCATAGTGACGGCTGATAATTTTCTGTTCAAAATTTCAAAATTTTATTTTACATAATGGTTTTCAAAGTAAAAAAATTTAAGAAAGAAACTTCGGCTTCGTTTGGGATGGCTTTCTTACCGCTTCATAAAGCAGTTTTTTATTATAAAAATTAAAAAATTTATACTAAAAAGCTGCTTTAAGAAGCAGAAAGAAAATCGTTCCAAACGAAGCCTTCATTGTCAAAGTAGCTTTATGAATTGAAGTAAGATGCGCTTATTTGTATTAATGGCAGGTACTATCACTCAATTGTTTGGTGCTGGTGAAAGCGAGTGCTCAGTGCTTTTCCTTTGGACATATGCTTTGGCTTCTGTTGCACTCACCTTATGGTCAACATATTTCATGTGGTTGGTCTCTTGACACATTACACCATTCATGGAATATTATGCTGAAAGCTTCACCACTTTATGAGAGAATTAGCTCATTCGATTTGGAGCTTAGATTATTTTTATGATGTCATATTGAAGCAAGTTGGCTTTGTATTCAAGATAATAATTAGACCTCAAAGTAGGCAAATCTAATACAATAAGTTGTGTCTTACAGTTCTGTAAAATTGGAGAATGGTTGGTGAAATTATTATTATTATTTTTTTGTTTGTTTGATGATAAATTTTTATTATGTAAGTGCTATTTGTTATGGATATGTTTAGTTGAAGCATCAAGATAACTGCATGATCTTTGTTGTATATACATCTTTGTTAGTTTGTTGTAAAAGCATACTTGCACTGTGCACCCTCCCTCTATTCACCCCTTGATTAACTTCAAATGACCCATAAGCAACTCTCTTTAAATTCATTGCATTGTGTTGTCCTTTCAAATTTAGGGTTCGTCTGTATTTGGGACGGCTTTTTTATTGCTTATTAAAGCAGCTTTCAAACATAAAAATTAAAATTTTTTAATTAGAAAACTGTTTTAAGAAGCAGTAAGAAAATCATCACGAACGAAGCCTTCGTTTGGAATCATTTTTTATTACTTTTTAAAGCAGCTTTCTAATACTAAGAAAACAGTCACAAACGAAGTCTTAATGTTTTTTTGGTTAAGAATTGAAATTCCTTTCAAATTTAATCAAATCGATCGTCATTTTTGAGGTTGCTTGTAAATCATCTAATTTTAGGTTAAAAGTAGCTAGATAAAATATGGTTCAAATTAATTTAAATTTATAATATATATAATTTCTACATTAGTTTGTAGGTTTTTATTTTTTTATTTTAATGTATTAGTTTTGTATCATTTAAATTATAATTATTTTGAGTTGGTTCTAATTGAACTTTGAGTAAAATAAATATCATACATATTATGTGTTAATAATTTTTTTGTCAATTTGAATTAATTTTTGAGTTTTTGTGGAATTGATTTCTCGATTTCAAGTTAAATTTGAGTTAGATCAAACACAAAATTTGAGTTTGAGTTAGGTCTAACTTACTCAAATTCAAGTTTATGTTAACCATATTTTTAGGATTCGATTGAAAAAGTTCATTTGGCTTTATCATGCGTCAAGCGTAAGAAGTTATTGTCCTTCAAAACATAAGGTAGTAACATGCTTGAATTTTTTGTACAATTTTCAAATATTAAAGGATAAGTATTTTGATAAAAAAATTTTGGAATTGATTGAGTGATCATTTGGACTTTATTTTTTAGAAATTTATATTTGAGACATTGTCTTGATGTACAAATCAAACAATACTAAGAACACTCAAATGCAAGCTTAAGTGGATTTAAATCAAGCATTTTGAAGCATGATTTTGAATTTCTCTAGACCATTTGAAGGTTTTAATGACTTGATTTTTGTGTGCTTGTAATTAGAATGATTGTTGCAATTTGATGAAGTTGATGGGTTTATGGTCACATAATTCAAAAAGATTATAAAAGGATAAGAAAGCTTATTTTGACCGTTTTATGGAGTGGTAATTCAAGGCATTTTTATGTTGATTAATGAAATATATTCAAATCTATATACATGGTTAATCAAGCAAGGGGTAGGGCTCATGGCACCCTCCCTATGAACAAAAGAATCCTTACCCATATTATTACAAATACCCTCCTTAGGACCACCAAAACCATCACTACAGTTAGTAACCGCAATTTCCTTCCCTTCAACATTCAGTTGAATGTCAGTTCCAGCCACACTAACACCAAGCTCATTAACACCAACCGAAGACAAAACCACATTTGTAAAATCGTTAGCATTCCATCAGTTAAAACCGGTTTAGCATTATATTTCGGAACAAGCAGTGGGGTAGAAGAATGGTTGTTACATTCACCCTTAAGATGACCCAGACACTTACATGAAACACTGAATGAAGGAAAATCCTCCATCTAAACCAATTGAACATACCCGGCATTTTTAGGCCCTAGCCACATTTTTTTAGAAATTTTTTTTGTGATGCTAGATCTACTAAAACCCGTGCAAGAGAAGACATAAAACCAACATACATTGCACTATCGACTTTCAAGGGCCGACCAAACATAGAACCCAAAGCATGAAGGATTCGAGGGGAAAATAGATGGGGTCGTAGATTAGGGAAAGATACCCAAATAGGAATAACCAAAGATTCAATGCCAATGTTCAGTGAGGGCGGCGATTTAGTGAGCTTCATGAAACAAATGTTCACGAAATAGGATCTATGACAAAAAACCCTACTATAATCAAGATCATTAGAAAACTTAATCAAAACGTGCGACTGATCAAGAACTGTAACAGAGAAATTAGCATTTAACTTCATAATGAAGAAAAATCTACGAATTGCATCCAAAGAAGGTCGGTGCGAAGGAAAGAAACCGACAAAGAATTTTGAAATGGAACCGCAAAAGCCAAAATTTCTTGCTCTGAGATCCACAAAGAAGGCAAACCATGATATGTACAATGCCGAAGCTCAAAGAAAGAACCAGAAGAAGGAGAACCAGAAAGGGCATCAACAAAAGGCCATAATTTAAAAGAACCATTCAGAAAACCAGAGTCACATACTCGTTTAACCAGCATACCGGTCGAGAACGACCAAAGGTGGAAGAGAGAAGGAAGCCAAACCAGAAAGAAGAAAGGAGAGTGAGACTTCCCTACCGGAGAAAGCAACAGATAACCCAAGAAGCACACATAAGACAAAGCTAGGGAAAAGCCCTAGCAATGCGTCGAAGTGTCGGGGAGCGAGAGGCATATTCATTTTTTATGAGTGGAGTAGAAGGCGAAGAATTTTCCATGCACCCATATCACATTCTTATAATTATGCTTTTGCTTAATAATAGTTATATGTTTATTATTATTCATTAGTAATTAATTTAAGAATTATCAATGTAATTATGTAATTGCATTCAATGTATAATATTTATCTCCTTCCTCTTCTATTCTAGTTTTTTTTTTTTTTTGCATTTGATTATATCAGATTAAGGTTTCGTTTGTAGGTGAATTTGTACTAGCTTACTATATCATATAATTGTCTTCAATTTCATTGCAATTGTATAGCATTCAAAATAAAATAAATATATTGTGGTTGCTTCAAAATTAACTATTTTTTAATTATTTTCTTATGATAGTTTCTATTACGATAACCATATCTTTGTTATTTTTATCCAAAATTTAAATTTGAGCATGAATTTTCATGAGTTCAAAATTTGTAGAAGAATAATTTAATAAATTTCACCATTTATACCCTAAAAAAATATCAAAACCCAAGAGTAAACTTAAATAAATTTTGATGATTATCCTTATGCCTATTTACTAGAGAAAATAGAAAATAATACCCTATTACACAAACAAATATATAGTGAAATTCAAGGAAGGTTCTAGGACTTATAACAAAATATTAATAGGTCAGCACCTCATCACTGTAACCTAGCCACATTCTCAACATCAGCTTTCCACTTGTTGTGCAATGTACTTTTAATTCCTTTCTAGACAGCATGCCCAAGCTCTCAATGAATGATTTTAAAAACTAAGAATCATCAAAATATTTTATGAATTCTCATCTCCAAGCCACTTTTCTATATAAAAAGATATTTAAAATAAATATTTTCCATCAAGACCTAAAAATAGATGTATTGTAATATTTGGCAATATATCTTCATATTACTAACATTACAATTAGTTGATAAATTCTAATTGACTCATACACATATTTTATAATATTGAGAGTCATATAAGCATGTTGATTCATAATCACTACATCTTTACATTACAAGTCCTAATATGCCTTTGAACCATCTTACGTATAAGGAGAGATCACAAATGCTATATTTTTCGATAGCTCTTGATCCCTTAAGGATTTGTAACAGCTTTCATTATATGAATGTTTAGACCCCTCAGTGAATTTTATCAACATATATAGCCTATTTTTTTGAATATAGACTTAATGTTGAGGCTTTAACTTATGCCATTGTCGATATGGATGATGCATACCATAGCCACCAAGTGTGATGCCCTCCACTTCCCTCAACACCAACATTAACGCCCATCATTCCCACCAAATTTGATGCCTCTTGTTGCTATCAACATCAACACCCATCTTCACCACCACGTCCAATATCACTATCACCACCAACGTTAGTTCCCGTTATTGTAGTTGAAACTAAACCTAATACTCATTATTTATACCAATGTTGATATGTACTATCACTGATCATAAAGGCTGACGCTTGTTGTCACTTATAAAGTAGATATCCATCATCATCATCACCGCTAAGGTCAATACTCATTGTCGACACCTATATAAAGGATTGCCATCAACGCCAACATCGATGCTTATTGTCAATGCCAAAGTTGATAGCAACCTTGTTATTCTTTGGCCTCCCTCCTATAAGTATAATGATTGAGTAAGATATACCAATGATCTATTAATGCTAAATCAAATAGCTCCTACATCTATCACGAAAGTCATTTTTCGTAGTTCTTATTTACTACATTGTATCAATGTGAAGAACGTTATTTTTAAAACTATATCAATGTTGTTGTTGTGATCATATGCTCTTTATTATATTTTATCTAAACTAATAAAAAATCAGGGAATAAGAGCTTTTAATTTTATTTACCAAATTTTAACTCTATGACTATTTCAAAAAAAAAAAAAATTAATAGCTCAAGAAAAATGATCTATTTTAGCAAATAATTTGGCTCTATATTAAATTTAGAGGGATTTGTATGCCTATCATGAAATTCTTATATTTTTAAATATCTAAAACCTAATTATTTTTATTTATTTATATAATACATTAATATTTAGAACATATCAAAATAAATATGTTAAAGAAATCTTTCATTTTATATAAATTAATATTAGTAATAATAATTTTGATATATTTTGATATATTTTGATTCTAAGATGTTATATAAATATATACAAATTTCTAACATTTTTAAAAAATTGTGGTTCTATTCTAAAATAAATTAAGTGAAGAAAACAAAATTAGAATCAAATATTTTGATCAAATTTATCTAAAAAAAGTTTAAAATTATTAAAGTATATTTATTTTAAACTAAATTTAATAAATTTGTACTCATTCTAATTAAAATTTAATCAAAATTATTCAGTTACCAAAATTTTTTTTCTTAACTTTTTTTTTTAATAAAAAAAAAATAGTTAAGAACCCTCGGCTGCCGAAAGGCGTCTTAAACCCTAAGCATAGCTTAGCTAGTGACTACCAACTAGCAGGGGGGCTAAAACCCTCTTGCAAATCTTCCATACCAACTTCTTCGAAATTCTACAGTCTTCCCTTGCTGGCGGAATGGCTTCCTCTGTTGCCTGCTCAATCCTTCGAAAAACCTTGCGCTTCCAGTTTTGCTCAACTTTAAATTCTTCGCGCCGTGTAGCTATCTGTTGTTCTTCTCTAGCCTCTTCTTTCCAATCGGCTTCTCTGGTCCGGAGGAAGCAAACGCAAAGCATGTCGAATCCTCCTTTTTCCATATACCCTAGATTTGCATCTTTTAAGGTGGGAGATGATGAGAATCTCATGAACGTTCTCCAGTCCGAGATAGAATGCGTCAAGGAACCGAAAGATCCCGGGGTATGATCGCATAACGAACTCTTCTCGTTGGCCGCTTGATTCATTGTTCTTTCAGAGATTCAACACTGCGGTTTGTCTTAGTGTTGGATTTTTTATTTCGAAATTCTGTTTTTTTCCCCGTTCATTAAGGCCTCGTTTGAGGCGGCTTATTTTTGCCGTTTCTGCTTCGAAACAGTAAAGTGGTTTTTAATTTGCTGTTTGTGTGTAAAACTCTTTTTTACGAAACTGCATTTTGATGCTGTTTAAGATGATATTTTTACTTGTTGCGTCAGTTTTGTTATAGTTTAGCTTGATCTTAGCAGCTAGCTTTCTTTCCGTGCTTGTATGTGGATGGAATCTCTTTTTTGTTTCTAGATTCTGGTTTGCAACTCAAAATTGGATATTCCTTTTGTTCGCATTATGTAATTTATTTTTGAATTAATAGATATAACTAATTGTTGCAAATCTTATGCCGTGAAACTTCGATCTTCATCAACTTTCTTGTTCTTTAACTATAAGTGGATTGGAAGGATATATTGAGAATGTGGGGCTGTGGAACAATGCTCAAATGGTTGCTCTTTTTACAAAATGGTTCGTTGCCCAATTATTAGTAAACTTAGCCCCTTCAACCACCATAAATATGGCTAATAATCATGCTATCACATTTTATGATTGGATAAGTCATGGTAGTGAAATTTATGGGAAAGTAATTGAGCATAGGTTACGATTTGATGCTAATATTCCTCAAAATCAATTTTGATTCATGACGAGTAGGTTTTCTATGGAAGCTATACATTTGTTAAGAGGTTTGATGAAGAAGTATAGAGAGAGTAATGAGGATCTACATATGATATTTATTGATTGAGAGACCATATGATAAGGTTCCAAGAGAAGCTCTCGTGAATGCGAGAAAAAAAAGTAGTTAATAATGCTTATATTCAAGTCATTAAGGATATGCATACAGGTGCTGCTACTTGTGTTCAAACACATGGTGATTTGACCATGTATTTTCCTATTTTAGTTTGAATACATCATTGATTAGCTTTAAGCATACCTTTTTTCTTTAGTCATGAATGTTCTTACTAGACACTTGCAAGAGAATGTACCATAGTGTATGCTTTTTACTGATGATATTCTTCTTATGGATGACTAGAGAGGGAATTGAAAGAAAAGTTGAATTATGGAAGTCAATCTTAAAATCTAAAGGTTTTCGTTTGAGTAGATCTAAAAGTGAATAAATGGAGTGTAATTTTAGTAGTAATAAATCTAGTGGTGGGATTGTAATATTGAGCGATCAAGTCATTAAAAAGAATGCATGCTTTAGATATATTGGGTCTATTGTTCAAAGTGATGGTGGAATAGATGAGGCTATTATTAGTATAATTAAAGTTGGATGGTTGAAGTGGAAGAATGCATCAAGCCTATTGTGTGATAGAAAAGTACCCCTCAAACTTAAGAGAAAATTTTATAAAATGGTAGTAAGACTTGTAATGCTTTACGACATAGAATGTTGACCATTAAAAGAGAATAATAAAATTAAGTTAAGTTTTGCAGAGATGAGGATGCTCAACTGGATAGGTTGCTTACACTTAGAGATAGAATGCGAAATGAGTATATATGTGAAAAGGTTAGAGTAGCCCCAGTTGCTGATAAGATTAGAGAGAGTCACCTTAGATGGTTTGTTCACATAAAGCATCGGCCTTTCGATGACCTGTTAAGTGAGTGGATGTATTAGATCTAGCCTATATTAAGAAATGTAGAAGTAGACCTAAAATGAATTGGTTAGAAAGTATTAAAAATGATATTTTTTATTTTATTTAAATGAGAATTTGACTCTTAATAGAATACAATGAAGAAAAATGATTCATGTAGCCAACCCCACTTAGTGGATGAAGTCTTGTGGTTGTTTCTGTTATAATTGTCAACATAAGGGATCTCGATAGCTCATCAAACTTCCATCTTAGGTACCATAGACTTTGCATGCTCTAAATAAATGATGCATCATGCATATGAGAGTTTAACCATGCCGAAACTTGTCTAACTTTTACAAGTAAAGTGGTAGAGCGCCCTATTTGGAACCAACAAAGAACTTGAAATGAAACAATAGCAAATTTAAGATCCAACACACTAATAACGAGGGAAAAGAGATGTTCAGAGGCCTCTTAAGCAAATCTGTAGAATTAACCTTGAAATATGAATTGATGAGGGATTTAGTAACAAAACTAGAATTTAAAATTTTATAATAAGAAGAAGTGCTAAGAAGAAATGAGAGAGAAATTAAAGTAGAGAGAATAATGAAAGCCAACCCAAAATTTACTCCGCAGAATTCTTCACCTTGTAAGTTTTGTGATGTTTATTTGTGATTATTAAGGATATTTGCTATTTTTATGGGATGACTATCCATAGTTTGAAAGCATCATGGAATGTTTATGATAACAATTTTTAAATTGGTGCATTTATTTTGAATTGTGGATAGATATTGATTGATTCCTATATTCTTATAAATGGAGGTCTTTAGGATATAGCAATTAAGTTTGAAGTAATCAAAATAATTCCTTTGCATTCTTTTTCTCTCTCCTTCTTAGAGTTTCAACCAAGAGGACCCATTAAGCCTTTTTTTTCTCCTTTTAGGGAAGGCCAAAATCCACTAGCATGATTCCCAAGAGAAGTTGATGCCTTTTATTTCTCCTCTATTGTGTAGGTTTCTCTAATTTCTTGATACAGTCTAAATATTTGACTTAGTTATATTGCTACCAATTCCATAAGTCTTACACTTCCCAATTTCTAAGCATCTTTGGTATCTGTGTAGTTATGAATTGTAGGAAGATTTTTCATGATTAAATTATGGATCAAAAAGGATCCTCCTGGTGATTTTACCAATTTTGAGATCTCAATTTTGATAAGAGATTTTAACAATTGAAGGCCTCTTCAGTTTGAAAGATCAAATGACTAATCATATGATTATAATAATGGCTTTCATTAAAGCTCTTACTGACACCACAAGCACCACCATCATTTGCTTAATCCCCAACCATTTAGATGGTAGTGAGACATCTAATAGGAGGCAACAACTCTACATCCCTTCAAGGTGGAGAGAAGGAACAAGAAGACCTTTTAAGGTACTAGCGAAGTTGGGGTTGCTTTTCTTTTGGGAAACAATCAAAGCTGAAATAATTAGCAATTGGTTCAAGCTTCTAGAAATATATTTAGTGATTTATGATTTTTCTAATAAATAGATATTTGCGTTTGATCTTTTAAATTTATTCTCACATGCTTTGGTATAATGGATCACAATTTTAAAAGTTATGAATTATGATCTAGCAATCTTGATATAGTTAGATTTTTAAAAACTGTTAAAAGCTCAATTCTACCTTATCTAGGAGACTAGGACAAATGAAAAAAGTCGATATAATGGCAAATTTGAAACATGATAATGGAAAAATTATACAAGAAAACATAGCAAAATTTTGAAGGCTGTTTAAAATTTTGGTTGAATGAAAAAATGATGTTTATGAAATGTGCAGTAAGATTTCTTGAAGCCTTTCATATAGAATTTAAGTTTTTTCCGATCGTTGATGTCCTTGAAATTATCACAGCTATTACGTTTGAGCAAAGAAACATGTATCTTTCTATTAAACAAAACGGTGAACTGACAATTGTAAAAATGGAGAAAACTAAAGGCCTAGCTACAATAGAGTAAGATACTAGACCTGGTAGACCACCATGTTATTGTTAAAAAAGGCCAGAGCATGGGTTTATGGATTTTTAAAACTTATGTCCAGAGAAGAGGCAAAAAAGAAAAAGATGCTCATTAGTACTTCAATGAAGTAATTGAAGTTGGAACTATTTCCCTCAATGTTGCATGTACATGCTAGTGAGGAAGCTGAGGAACTATTTTTCGCTAGAAGCTATGCTCGTTATGCTTATGTTTTTTTAAAGGCTGTGAAGATATCTTATTTCTGAAGTTTAGTTAAGAAACTGGGGATAATCACTACTAAACATTCGCCCTATATCTTGAGTTTGTTTAAGAAGAATAAAATTTGTTAGATCACTAGACAAAACACTCTTAGGTTTGTTTTCTCTAGAGATTTCATCAATGAGGTAGTTTGTGAAGTTCCATAATTAGATGAAATGAAATTTTTGGGTAGTCCAGATCTACGAATAAGCATTTTGTCTTTTTTGAAAGAGAACAAAAAACTATGATTGTTAAGGGCGGAAAAAGATATACAAAGTTGGTTAATTATTCCACCTTCAACTGAGGTGGATAAAACGAGCAATCTACTCTAATATGGGACAAGCGCTTTCTTCCTAATAAAGAACACAAGAAATATCATCTCAATTATTGATCTATATCAAAGGAATCATCGACGAAATAGCATGTTTAGTGGACTTAATCCCAAGCAATGATGGTAAGACATCATTTGATCTTTGGAGGTTCTAGCATATTTCTTGAGAGAGTGAAGATTTCATAAAGTGTATCAAGGTCAATGTTAGTGTTTTAGTTTCACATTTTCAACAAGCGAGTTTGTCTTCTTCTTTGTGCTTGACCTCCAATGTTGTAGAGATTCGAGAGAGATTGCAATGGAGGTATACATTTTGATTAGTGTCTCCAGGACCTCACATCGGAGTTTGTTGCCTCCACGCTTGCAGAGTAAATAAGTTACTTTCTTGGCCAATCTCCTTCAAAACATTCTACAAGAGGAGAATTTTGTTCTTATCAGGGAGAGTTTGGTATTCTCATGATCTTTGAGATGAGTGTTACGGATGGGAGAGGCCAAATTGAATGTTTGCAATGATGAGATTTTGTTTGAAACCTTTGTCATTTTAAATCTTCTTTTACTTTGAACGATTCATTTTTCTCTACAAGGTAGTTAAAAAAATTGACATGATATAATGGGTAATCCTCTTCATAGTTGGGATTATATTCTCGTAAAAGAAATCATGATATATAGCTAATAAGCTTACTAAGATCTTGAATCACAGTAAGGTTTCTATATTGTTACAAATAACAACTATAATTTGCCTTAAGGGTGAAGAATGCTGCAAGGTTCCTAATTTCAAAGCAAATTTTTTTCTAGTGGCTCTCGGATTTTGCTCATTTTGAATGTTTTGATAAAGATATTTGAAAAAAAAAATATTCAATTAGAAAGTTGGAGATACACCAAGTTGTTGAAACTTGAAAATCAAAATAGAAATATATGGTCAAAATAGATAGAGCAAAAACTATAAACAAGAAAATGCAAAAATAAAAAATGTTCAAAAATGATTTTTGCAAAAGTATGATTTTAAAATAATGCTCAGCATACATAAGGATCAACTTTCTTTTTAACAATCTAATGTATGATAAGCTAAAATTATTTTCTTACGAGTTATGAAAAAGTAGATCTTCACTTTTACGAGTTATGCTTATGCCAAAACTCACTATAGTATGACTCGCAATTTATTTTGCTTAACACAGTATATTACAAGTTTAATTTAGATTTTTTTTGTATTTTTTAATAGAATAAAACTTATTGATAAATTAGTTATTATGAGATTTCAAAGAATAAATAATGGTGGAAATACAAGGAAAATGAAATGGCTATGGTGAAAACTTGACAAACCTTAAATGCAATCGTTGATAATAAAGTTGACTTCATGTAGGTTTTTGTTGTGGTTGTGATCTTTTTTCTTTGGAAGTCCATCTCTGACTGCCTTGCCACTGACACCCTTAGAGATCCTTGGATGAAAGAGAACACAAGATACACAAAAACAAATGCACTTTAAAAATTTTATTTTAATTCATTTCATCATCCGTAAAACAAGTGTTGTACATTAAAAGAGATTTCTTGCTTATATGAATAAGAGAGAGGCTAAAAGATGATAAAATAAATATTTAAGCCTACTCTCAATCTTTCTTATACTCTTTTGTGCTATTGTACTTTATTAGGATGCATGGATGTGCTTGAGAGAGATAACATTTGCACTTTTTCATATTGATAGTTTTGATACTAAGCAAACTGATTCTGCCTGATGTTTCCTCCCTGGATAAACAATAGACAGATGAACCAACCATGTTACTCCTAATGTGAGTTCATTAATGAACTTATATCATCATCATCATTTCGTATTACTGAACCTGTATATTCTTGAATTTTTATTGGCAGGAGATTATTGTTCCAAAAGAATTTCCTTTCGAAATAATTGATAGCCATGGTGACCAAACAATTACTCTTAAGAGAGAATATAATAACGAGAGCATCCAAGTCACAGTTTACATGAATTTAGATATAGAGAGGGATGATAGACAAGATGAAAATGTTGATCATCAGGAGGGGTCAGAAGTCCAGCCAAACATTTCATTGCATATAACTGTAGATAAAGGGCAGGGCTTTATCTTGGAATTTGGTTGCAAACTCAATTCCAATGAGCTTGAAATAGAAAGCATGGCAAGCAGAAGTGATCATTTTGATACCCAGGGAGCATATCAAGGACCTGTGTTCTCGTAAGTATCGTACCATTTTATTAGTCCTGCTATGTCATCTATACAACTTTACAAAAACAGCAAGCTTTTGTCCCACTACATGGGGTCGGCTACATGAATTTTTTTTTCGCCATTGTGTTCTGTTAAAAGTCAAACCCTCATTTAAATCTAATAAAGAAAGATCATTTCTAAGATTTTCTAACCAAGTCTTTTTAGGTCTACATCTACCTTTCTTAACACAAGTCAAATCTAATATCTCAATTTTCTTAATCGGGTCATCGGAAGGCCTCCATTTAATGTGACCAAACCATCTAAGGCGACTCTCTCTAATCTAATCTTCCACTGGAGCTACTCCAACCTTTTCACCTATATGCTCATTTCGTATCCTATCTCCAAGGGTAAAGCTACTCATCCACCTAAGCATCCTCATCTCTGCAAGACTTAACTTGGTATTATGCTTCTTAATTTTTTAAAAGATTCATGTCATGATTATTCGACAAGTTTTACGCTGGCTGTCGACTACCTAACGTAATCCTCCACTTTTTTCATCCAAGATTCATGTCATCTATACAACTTTCTTGGCATAAAATATAGAAACGGGGGATCTTATATCACTAATTAAACTTACTTTTAGGTGTTATTCTTTTTCACTGTTGCTTTGTACTCTGAGATGTAGAAGGGGGATGGGATTGTCTATCTGATAAAATTTCTAACATATTTGCAAACTAGCTCTTTAACACTTCTAACAGCATTTCCGTTGATTTTTTACTTTTGTTGAGACAAAAGAAAACCATGACAATCAAATGATTGGAGATTACTTCTCTAGTATTTTATTACTATTGTATAATATGTTTTGTTTCTTCTAGGAATCAACTTGAATAAGAAGCACATTCTTCTGTTTAATGCTCTTCAATGGTCTTTCTGTTTGCGCCACCTTTTATTAGTCACTGAATGAATCTGCTCTCATTTATTGTTTAGGGATTTAGACGAGAACTTGCAAAAGGCTCTTCATAAGTACCTGGAAGTAAGAGGCATCAAGAGTTCTTCTCTCCACAGTTTCTTGTATGAATACATGATAAATAAAGATGAAAGGGAGTATCTAAAATGGTTAAAGAACCTGAAGGAATTTCTTCTGAGATAATTTATAGTGTGGAATATTAAAGGTTTTTACCTTGCAAATCTGGCAAAAAGATGAATGGCGAGTTGTTTCTCCTGTTTTCACTGAGTTCTACCTCTAAGGTATTCTCCCTCATAACTTCCATATGCTCTGTCCCAATATTTCCAACGCCTAACAACCCCAACAACATTCAATATGTATTGTGCTTATGTGATTATCTTCGAAGTATATATTATGCCAATGATAATTTTTCATCACTTTAGTGTTATATTCCATAAGAGATTTCTTATATGATTTATATTTAAGAAATTTATAATACATTAAAGATTAAAGATTATTTAGGCTTTGTTTAGAATAACTATCTTATTATTTTCTAATGCTGGTATGAAGAAAGAAAATTTTTGAAGTAAAGAAAATATTTTTTTTAGTGTATTTTTTTTAAAGCAGTAAAAAGATAATAACCAAATAAAAATTATGGTTGAGATCTTAAAAATAAAACAGTAAAAAAGTTGTCTAAAATGAAGTTTAATCACCGCTTTCATTCAACCTTCTATTGTGTAAATAAACTTAATATGCAAAACTCATAATACGCATACTCATATTTTCAATGCACTTTTCATATTCGAATGTTTAGTACTTTATCCATATAATTTAGGATGATTATGTGTTGGGGATGGAATTAAACATTGCAACAAACAAATGAGAAAAATAGAAAAGCAACAAAAAATAAAGGGTGCCATGATTTAATATGGAAAAAATTCAAAATCAGGAAAAATTTTATGGAGCCCCATACCATATCAAGAAATCTATTATGACAATGGGGAAAAAATAAGTAGAAATCTCTCTTCTTTCTTACTCTTTTCTTAAGAAACAATAAGAAAACCGTCCTAAATGAAACCGTAATCAAAGGGATATAATTAGAATAATATCTTTATTGTATAACAAGCTTTTTATTTGGTCAAGTGTTGACACGCCCCGAAGCCCGACTCGAAAAACTTTGGGTTCCAGTCAACCTATTTGTGAAATGGGTCGAGTTCGGGTTCAGATTTCTGACCTATCTAAAAAACGGGTCGGATTCGGGTTGACCTGACAACCCGAAGCTGACCCGACTATCCTGGATCCTGCATGATGACTTGGCCTAGCCCAGTCCACTGTCAACCTAGCCCGCGTGATAACTCGACCTAGCCCGTGTTGCCACCTTCTAGTCGGCCTAGCCACCATCGGCTCTGATTGCAAGCCCCGACTTTGGCGACCTCCTGCCTATTGCCTGCTTGAGTTGCCTTCGACCTCTTGCATACTTGCAGCCTTCCAGGTCGAGATTCGAGCCCCTCCTCCATCAGTCCACCTCACTTGCGGTCTGCCGGTCTCACTCCGAGTCTGCGTGATGATTCGACCTCGCCCAGGCCCTACATGCCCGTAGGCTCGCACGACTCAACATTTGTGCCTGTTGAAGGAAGGCATAAGTCTGGTTTCTCGGTCGGATCAGGTCAACCTGATAACATGTGCTGGTCGGGTTCGAGTTGGAAATCCTGACTCGTTTAGCTATACTGGTCGGGTTCGAGTTAACCCATTTACAGTCGGGTCAACTTGGTTTAGACCCAAACTCGACTTGTTAACCTGAATTGACACCTAAACACCATGATAGAATATCATATATATCTTTCACGATAATATGTTGTTTTACTTGTAGTATTTGATTATGAAAATGATAATTTCTTAAAATCCTATTTCTGATTTCAAATAACTTTATAGAATATTATATTCATTTTATGACGTGATATGATATGCTATTCTCTTAATTGTATGTGATTTTAAAAATGACAGAACTTTTAAAACAATTTTTTTTTATTTAAATACGTTTGTAGAATATCATATTATAAAATCACTCACAAATAAATGCAAGTGAGCAAAAGACAAACATTGTAGCTAAAAAATGGAGAACCATTAAAAAGGGAATAATAGTTTTTACACTAATTTTATATTAATAATATTTTGTATACAATTAAACAAACCGTCGGCTGGCGACGAAGGTCGGAAGGACTGTAGTCGGCGAGCGACGTAAGTCAGGAGGACCGTAGTCGGCGAGCAACATAAGTTAGGAAGACCGTAGTCGGCGGGCGACATAAATCAGGAGGGCCGTAGTTGGCGGGCGACGTAAGTCAGGAGGACCGTAGTCAGCGGGCGACAGAGGTCAGAAAAACTGAAGTCGGCGGGCGACGTAAGTCAGGAGGATTATAGTCGGCTGACGACGGAGGTCAGAAGAACTGTTGTCTGACGACGAAGATCAGAAGGACGACGTCAGGTTGAATTCCAACAAAAGGAAAGAAATCCATCTTCGCATAGACTTCCAGCGAAGTCCGATAACCGGTAGAAGTCCGGCGTTGGATAGAAACTTGGCGAAGAGTGAATGCCCGACGTCGGGTAGAAGTCCGACGTCTGTTGGTGGCAGAGGAGAACTCCGGCTTCACTTGGGCAGAGTTTCGGCGTCAGGAGAGAACTCTGTTGTTAATTGGGAAGAATTTCAGCACCACGCTGAAGTTGGGCAGCATTCCGTCGTTTCCCGAATAGCTCAGGCGGTGGTCGAGGGGATTCACCTTTTCCCCTTTTCCTTCTTCTTCTCCTCTTCTTCTCTCTTTTCACTTCCGTTCCTTTGGTGTAGAATGAGGGCTCTATTTATAGTTTTTCTGGAATGACATGGCCTGTAAATAGTTGTGAGATCAGGGGCGAATTGGGAGTGGTTTGAATGAACGATCGATATTGAATCCTACGATCATGCACCGTTCGTTGGACATTTGAAGGCCTTAATGATGTCGGAATTTGGCGATCTTGGGCTCGTCGGATTCGTCTCGTCGAGCCGCTCGATTCCGGTATAAGCTCGTTAAAATCGGAGACCGTTTGGTAACTCAAATTGCGGTTCGAACCTTCCAATAGCGCTTCGGGTCCTTGATTCGGACTCATTTGGGCTCGTATTGGGTCGAATTTGGTGTCGTTGGGTTCGTATTTCCGAGACGCTCAGTTTGACTGTAAGCTCGCTGAAATTGGAGTTCATATGCTTTCGAATTTAATTTTTGAAGTTTCCGAACTGATTTTGCCTCGAGATTCGTGCCCAATCATGATAATTTTCTGATAATACATCAACTATTATATTGTAATGTATGTGAGTCAAGCTGACTCGGGAGCTGGCTCGAGTTTAGCTCGATATATCACTCTTAGGCCAAGTTGGATGAGCTAATAAGCTAAAACTTGAGCTAGTTATGCTTAACTTCTTAGATGGAGAGCGCCCATTTAATAAATATT